ACATGGAGAAGCCACATGGAGAAGCCACTGTCAATCACTGCAAGGCTGGGCCATATGGCAACAGAGACTGAGGCTCTGTTCCTAGTCCTGGGAAGGCAGTAGGAGGAAAACATCACCCACTCAGTCTCCCAAAATAGGTACAGGCCATTGCTTAGCTTTTGGACTCATTATAACTAACATGCAAAACAGCACATCCAAGAGCATTGTTTAGACTGCAACAGCGTTTCCTAGGAAAGTTAGGAACTTTCAGACAGTTGTTCATCTCACAGATGCTTTGGTTTCTAAATACAGTCCAGACAACTTTCAATTCACATATTCAGCTGACATGAACTCTGACCAGGAAGAACTTCTGTTGTCTCCAGTCTTCTTCAAAATACTGTCTTGCATCTGCTAGGACCTAGTACAGGAAATACCCACAAGCACAACATGTGCCAATTGGGATTTTCAGAAAAAAAAAATAACCATTAGTGCCTGACAGATCTGACAGTGGTGGAGAGAGTAGCTCAACTTGTATTGCTTTATTGTTTCCTCCCAACTCTTTCTTTCTTTCTAGAAGCCCTTGTATTATTGCAATTGCAGAACTATTTTTTTTTTTCCCCACTTGTTTCGTAAAGTCTTACCTAGTTAAAGTAAATTCCGCAAAAATACTTTGCAACTTTAGATCAGCCTTCTGGGCAAGCATACTGCTACATAGGCAGCTCCAGCATGTCCACTGCCCTTCCACACCTTTTTGTCCCCAAGCAGGGACATGTGCTTGAGTGTCTCAAATTCCACATCTTCATCATGTGTCATATTTACCTTTTCCCAATTTTGGATCCCCACTGGGATCCAGCTGGCCCCCAGTTTAAACAATCCTAAAATAAGATCGTGCTTTTTGCAAAACTAATTGTTAGCCAGCTCCCTAAAAAGCTCCAACTTGGCTTTATTGTTAGCATATGGATGAACAGTGACAGGAGTAACAGCTGGTTTTGTTTTCTTCCCCCTGCACTAAAAGTTAAACATTAAACAAACAGCTGTACAGAAGGGGAAATTTCAAAGTGCAACTAGGAGAACAAAAAGGAAGCTAGAAAAACCTTTTTAAAAGACTCAATAATGAATTAAGACTTTCTATCATGCAGGACTGAGGAAGGGGCTTCTAGTGCATCCCTTGGTCCATAGGCCAATATTAGAATCCCTTTGCAGTTGAGGAGCCTCCTCTTTCTGCAGAGCCTTGCTTTTACAATTGCAAAGCACCTAGGGATTTTTTTTCTCCCACCTGAGAAGAGGTCTATTAATGTATATATGCATTGGAGTTTCACCTGGGAGACCTGATCAGCAGATATATACCCTTATTTTCATTTTCTACACACAGAAAAGAAAGTGCACAGAAGGGAAGTGACTACCTGTCTCAGATCAGCACTGCTTCAGAACCAGAAGCTGCACTTTCTGCACTGGGAACACTTCAGCTTCTTCACATCTGCCTGACTTGCTTTTCCCCTTTTGTATATTACATGGGTATATTACCCATGTAATAAGGAGATGTGAATAAAGAACATACTCTTAGGTCAGGAAAGCACAGCTCTTCCTAGAATAAATGGTAGGTCTCTGAAGCACCAAGCAGAACTGTTTCACTCCTTCCCTGGTCCGTCACTCAACCATTGCTCCATCCAGCTGCATTTTTAGACAGACACTGGCAGCGTCTACACAGGACAGGTAGGTCACAAACCAGCCACCATGTCTTTGGCTCCAAATTGTCCCTTGCTTGCAGGCCTGCCCCCAGGATAGGGAGAACAGAGAGCAGGTAGCAAGAAGGGGAATAACACTACAACCCTCTTCCTTTTAGAGTCAGGTCACTCCAAACCTGGCTTTGCTTCAGAGAGAGAGCAATTACATTCACAAAGTGCAGACCTTCCAGGGGAAAAATGCTCTTTTTATTCAATTAAATTTCCCATAGCTAAGGTTAATTGCCTGTGTATTTTTTGCCTCAAAATACAAGAGGCTTCTGGCTGCATCTGAAAGAGCCAGGAGAGTGGAGGACCTCACAAGTGGTGGGGAGCTGGCTGGTGGCTGGCTCCTTGCTCACTAATAATTTAATTAGTAATTTAGTAACTTAACTGAAGACAGACGCGAGAGGGTAGGACCAGCATACCAATTTTTTGCAGGCATTCACAGAAGGCCCAACTACTGTTGTACAAGAGAAGTCTGCTCGCAAGACATGGTCCCTGGTTCAAGTTATGATCTGCAAGATCCAGTTTCCAAATTTTGAGCAACAATCCCCCTTCCCAGGACATGCAGCACATGAGCACAGACCTGCCTCTAGCTCTGACCAGGCTGGCAAGAAAAGCCCTATCGCGTTTGCAGAGCCACTGCTGGGATGAGGATTGCACATATATGCATCAAATTATGCCAGACACCTTCTTGGAGGTTTCTGCTGCTTCATCTCCAGACTAGCAGCTATAGAGCCTCCCACTGAGCTATCCTTAAGATGCAATTGGGATGTCCCTCACTCAAACAGTTCTTAAAGTATTTCTCCTTTCTGTCCAGCAAGTGATTTGCTCTCTCAAATTAGCTTTCATAGAAAAAGATCTGGCAGCATGGCCATCTTTAAGCATGTTCATGGCAATGCTTAGAGTTCTGCTTTGAAAAGAAATATGAAGTTTTCTCTCTTAGGTGTACTAGAGTCATAGAATCATAGAATCCTTAAGGTTGGAAGGGACCTCTAGAGATCATCTAGTCCAACTCCTCTGCACATGTAGGGTCACCTAGAGCATGTGGCACAGGATTGCATCCAAGTGGATTTTGAAGATCTCCAGAGGAGGAGACTCCACAAAATCTCTTGGCAACCTGTTCCAGGGCTCTGTCACCTTCACTGTTAAGAAATGTTTCCTCAAGTACCTGTGGAACTTTAGGTGCTTCAGTTTGTGTTAATTTCCTCTAGTCCTATCTAGTCCTCTAGTCCTATCAGTGGCCACCACTGAAGAGAGGCCAGCCCCATCCTCCTCACTCCCTCCCTTGAGGTATTTATATACACTGATATGATTCCCTCTCAGCCTTCTCTTCTTCATGCTGAACAGGCTCAGCTCTCTCAGCCTTTCCTCATAAGGCAGATGTTCCAGGCCCCTGATCATCCTCATAGCCCTGTACTGGACTCTCTTCAGCAGCTCCACATCCCTCTTGTAGTGGGGAGCCCAGAACTGGACACAGTACTCCAGATGTGGCTTCACTAGGGCTGAGGAGAGGTAGATGATCACCTCTCTCGACCTGATGGAGACACTCTTCTTAATGCACTCCAGCATTCCGTTGGCCTTCTTGGCCACGAGAGCACCCTGCTGTTACATGGTCATCTTGTCATCCACCACGACGCCCAGGTCCTTCTTTACAGAGCTGCTCCCCAGAAGGCCAGTCCCCAGCCTGTACTGGTGTCTGGGGTTACTCCTCCCCAGGTGCAGGATCTTGCACTTACCCTTATTGAATTTCATAAGGTTTCACACTGACTAGTTGTCCAATGTGTCCAAGTCCCTCTGGATGACAGCACAGCCCTTTGGGGTATCAGCTACTCCTACCAGTTTTGTATCATCATCAAACTTGCTGAGGGGGCACTCCATCTCTTCATTCAGGAAGGCTTGACCAATACAAGCTCAATACAACCATGAAATTTTTATTTTACAGCACAGAGGAGCATGGAGGCGAACACTACAGTTCCTGCTTAAATGTAGAAATAGTGTGGGCATATGGGCTTTTCACAGCCACAGGAAGAGGCTAGTCACTGAGGACAGCCACTAGGCAGAATGGAAATGTAAACCCCACAAAGCATTCCCCCTTTCAGAGAAATAAAGTGAGGTGAGGCAGGAGTGAAGGAATAAGAGAGAGAGAAGCAAACTTACTTTTTCTGAGAAAGATCTAGCAAAACTCAGTTAAATCCAGTCAAATAGATTCTTTTTACCTCCAGTCACTGTTCATGTTGTCTCAGCTAACGTGCCCAAAACACTACCTGATCCACTCCAGAGCACCTGAAGAAACCTGACTTACTTCACCATGAGTTTCTGGAATGGAGCTTGTGCCATAAAACTGCACTTGCCTTCCTATACTCAGAGGTGATACCCAGCAGGAAAGCAACGCTGGGTTTATCTGTTTGCCTCACATCTCCAGACCACCACTCCTGCTCCAATAAATACCAGGCCTGATTTATTGCCTAGTAACACAACTAAGAAAAAGAAAACTTTTTTTTTTTTTTTTTTTTTTCTTCAATGTAAAGCAAGGGATTATTTTAAAAAGCCCACACCCCCTTTACTTCTTTAATTGTGCTCTCTACCAAATCCCTCCATATTAAAACGTAAAAAAAAAARAAAAAAAAAAAAAAAACATGGAAAAGAGATGCTTCCCATTTTCTCTTGCCCTGTGCAGAGACGGGCAAGAAGGGAGAGTGCTCATGAGGCCGTAGTTTGGCATATCAAAGCATCCTGCCGAATAATTAATGCCCAAACCAAATAACAGGCCCCAAGTTTCCAAGGTACCACTCATCTACTCGAGATAAATAGGGCATTAAAGGAGAAGGGGGTGGGGGAGAGGGGAAGGTAAGCACGGAGAGGGCGAGTTGCCCTCTCGCATAGCAAGCGCCCTCCGAGACTCCGAGGGAGAGCACACTGATTGACCCCACTTGCCGCGCGAAGCGGCCAAGTGTGTCCGGAGGGGGAGGGAGGAGGCAGCGAAGCGGCGGGAGGGGAGAGAGCCTTATCCCCCTCCCTTTTCTTTTAGGGGGTAAAAAAAATACTTCTCTTCTGCACAGCTTCCCCTGCTTCCCCCGGGGACGTGAAACACCTTTGGCCGCCAGGAGAGGCAGATCGCCTTCTTCTCCCCATCCCTTCTCCCGTCCCCGGTAGCCCTTACGGGGGGCGCAGGGAAGCTCGGAAGCGGGAACCCCACAGGAGCCCGCAGGAGCCCAACCCTCCTCACAGCCCCTTCTATCCCACGCTGGTCACACTGACCCGGCGGAATGAGGCCTGGCATCGCTGCGCTCCTACCTGCCCGGGCCGGCTGCGGTAGGCGAAGGAGTAGACGCGCTCTGCGCTGATGTTCACGGCGCCGCGGTAGAGGCGGCCGAAGGCGGCGGGAGAGGGTCTGCTCTCGGGGCCGGCAGCGGCGGCAGCTGCCGCGCAGAACAAGGCGCAGAGAAGGGCCGCGCCGCTGAACCCTGCAGCCCCGAGCATGGCGCTATCGCCGAGCTGAGCTCCTGGCACTTAATGTGGCACCGCCGGGGCCGCCTATACTCCGACAGGGCGGGAGCTGAGCCGCTCTATTTGCATTTTAAATAAGCTCCTCGGCTGGAGGCAGCGCTCCTCCACCCCTTCCCCTTCGAGCCTCTCCCTGCTGCGCGGGGTCCGAGCGGGCGGCCCCAGGCGGACGGTTCCCTCCGCCAACTCGGCGGGGCGGTTGAGAGCTGTTTCCCTTGGTGGGCCCCTTTTCCCCCTTGGGAAAGGTGGCGTGTTCACGCTGCGAGGCTGGAGTTGTGGTAGCACTTGGCACCTGCATATTCGTTCATGTGGCACCTCGTAGTCGACCGCGACTGCAGGTCCCAGCACTTGCCTGACCAGTACCGTCTGTTGCTACCGGCATGCCAGGGCGTCATGACACTATGCATGATGCATCTGGCACAAGGCCATCCTGAACATTTATTTGTAGCTTTTTTTTTGCAACTTTGTAACTTTGGGTTGAATGGTTGAATCTTTTAGTTCAGTTCAAAAGTGGCTTTATTTTTTTTATTTGTATTTTTTTCCCCAAGGTGTGAAATGTGAAAGGCTGGAGCAAAATCGAATTTACTTAATTCATACACTGTGTCATTTAAGTCTTCCATAGTACTGATGCAAAAAATGTGGTGATAATCTTTTAGCAAGATGAGCATGATACTCCTGGGCTGTGGAAGGGTCAGGGGTTTCCCCTTATATGCTTTCCCCTTATGTGTACTCTTGTGAAAAAACAGGTCTGGGAAGTGTGTCAAATCCTTGGGTAAATGGAGGCATTTTTAGGTTAGAGAAGATAGAGTATCTCTAGAAGGCAACTTGATTTTTATTTATTTATTTATTTATTTATTTTTATTATTCAAGCCACAGGTAAGGCTGTAGAAGCTGTGATTTCATGTGGCCTGCCTGCATTCTTCCACTGTGTTGAGTCTGCCCACAGAAGTTTCGCAAATGGGAATCTTTTTCTCAAAATGGAGAGACATTTCCTCAGGTGGCTCTTCTTGCATAGAGAAAAAGCTGTCATAAAGCTTAGCAGAAAGATTTCAGCTTACATTCTGCCATCATTTTGATGTATGGACCTTTGTGTGATCTCTGCTGAGAACAGACAAAACAACTATCAGCTGTTCCTGCCTTCAATGCCTTGAAGCAAACTGCTGCTCAGGTCACACTGCCTTGTCAGAGGCAGAGTCCCAAGAGGAGGCAGCAAGTGCAAAACCCCCATGTGAGGTGTCCTGCAAGAGAGACTATCCAACACGATGGTTGTGTCAGCCTGGAGTGCCATGCTGGGTCCGACAGAAAAGAAGACCTGAGTCTTCTTTACCCCCATGAAACATTTATGACTCTCTTGACCCATACACAGAGTGACCTCTAGTGAGACATTTCAAGGAATGTTGGCACTGGAAGCTTGTGAATATCCTCTGACAACCTGTAGTGCCCCAAACTCCTGATATATGCAGGTGTGTACTCACCTGCACCCTTCTTCAGACCCGCAGATCACGGCTACAGAGGTCCATGGCCATAAGCCCTCTAGCGCTTACAAGAGTGACACCAGCTACAGGAAGGAGACCAGGGAGTGCACTTGGCTTCTCACATCTATTCAAGAGTAGAGGCTTGAAGGAGACTTGAAACAGAAGGAGAGGAGGCAAAGCAAAAGCATGCCTGGGCTATGCCAGGTCCCTCAAAGCAATGACAGATGGCACAAGACTAGTGTTCTGCATACTGAGCTAGTGTTGGTACCCCCTAATAATTTCTGTGTCATTTTGTGCTGTATGTATTTCCGATCAGGTGATTAATGTGGTGTCAGTGTGTAGTCCATTAGCACCCTTTCCAAGGCAGAATTAAGAAATCCTTCAGTATATATATGTTTGACATATGTTTTGCTGTCCTACCAAAGACTACACAATTTTTCCTCATTTTGAATTTGAGATTTCAAGTTGTGTTTTCAAAATATAATACTTTGTGCTTGCCTTTCTTGAAATTCATTTTATTATTTCCAGAGCAATGTTATAATTTTATTTCCATACTTGCCTGCAAAGTGTTTGGAGTGCTGTTCCACTCAGTGTTATTTTCAAGCATTTAAAGACTTCAAGTGTTTAAAGACAAAGATCTATTTCATCATCCATGTCACTAATGAAAGTAATTAATCTTAGAAGATAGATCAGATCTCTTAATTTGATATGCCTTCCTATTTATGAGAAATTATGCACAACTACATTTTGAGCATTACTTTTCAACCATGCGCCTCTCTCCTGTTAATTCTACCTGGTCCAAAATTGCCTTTGTCTTGAATGGTATTCAAGACAACATCAGCAGTCAAGATATGTTTCATCTGTTGCTTTCAGCACCTACCAATTCAGTTATCCTATTAAAGAAATAAATTAGGTTACTTTGATGTGATTTCTTCTGGACAAATATAGACTGCCTGTTTCTCATCACTTTTTGTTTGTTATTTGGTTGCTTGAATGCTGATGTTGAACAGCTTGTTTCATTATCTTTCCAGATAACAGAAATTGGCTGCTGCTTAACTCTTCACTTGACCCCTTTGATAAAGACAAGTACTATGTTTTCCATTCTCAAGATTCTCTGCTTGAATCTTGTTCTGGATGGCAGCATATTAAAGCCTGGAAGAAAGAACTGGTTTCTAAAGCAGTTACTGTACTGCACAAAGTGACAGTCTAGATAGACTATAGGTCTGGGCTACTGGAAATATTTAGGTGTTCTTATATATGTCACAGTACCCTGATGTCAGGGAACAGCAAATGCTTGTTGCTCCCTAAGGGATATCAACTGGCAGAATAGGAACCTGTTTGGCAAGAGTCAACCAAGACTCCAAGTAGCCAGACAAGTTGGTAGTGGTGAGATAGGTCTGAGGTCAAGTCATGTATGCGAGTTAGTGAGTCAGAATCAGATCTGGCAACGGCAACTGAGGTCAGACACAGCCCAGTGATCACCAGGTGTGTCTCTAGCAAAGAGGCACGTCAGAGGACAGGCCAAGAAGTCAGTTTGTGGGTTATGGTCTGAATCTGAATCAAGGGGGCCTGTGGCTAGGCACAGGCATGCTGAGGCTATTGCTCAGGACAGGACTGAACTTTAGGGCCTCACCTTTAAATTATTTCTGCTGTGTGATTATGTGCTTGTCTCTGAGCATGGGATTCCAGACCTCCGTGAGAGGGGATGCTCTCAGGCTACTTACATCTGGCCATGCTTGTGGAATTAGTCTAAACAGCACTGGATGTTCTGAATTGGACAAAATGTTCAGTAGCTTCCACAACTAACTGCAGCAGTTTAAACTGGTGGCAGCACATGGGCTCTAGGTCATGCAGAGTGGTTAGTATGCATGAGACTTTAAACGTGTCTACCTAGACTATCACACTTTTATCAGTAGTTAAAGAATTAGCTAATATATTTTCTAACACAGCTTATTTTACCAGTGTAAGTCAAGCCCAGGGCTATGAATATCTGTGTGCAAAGGAGAAAAAATATTGTGCTAAAGGTTCACAAAAGTATGTTGTTGTTTTTTTTTCTTCATAGCATAGAATAGAAAATTACACTGCTATTAAAAAAAAACTACCAAATTGGAAATTTCCAAACAGGTTGGAAAACCTTATGATTTTAAATCACAACTGTTTGTATGAATATATAATATTCATACATGCTAATATATGGTATAAGCTTATCTTAGGTATGCTGCACTGGGAGTTAATAGATGCTGTTGATGTTCAGCTGAATTCTGCAGAACTAATGAAACATTTGCAGAATCTCCTGTAAACACAGTATGAAAAATGACATAAAATGTTACTTTTTCTCTCCCGTCATAACTCTTTTCTTCTCTCATACAAAGCAATTTCTCACCTCAGCTTATCAATCATTATCATTCATCCCCTCATCATCATTAGCATGATCAAGCATGGAAATCTTCACAAGGGGATTTTTACAGTGACGTTAGTAAGCCAAACTTAAGTAAGATTAGAATGATGGGGATCCTAAAAACTAGAAATTCTTGATGTAAGGAAGTTTTTGTTTGTTTGTTTGTTTGTTTGTTTTGAGTAAGAAGTAGAAAGTTTTTCCTGTGGAAGTTCAGTATTCCTGGAGAACAAGGAGTTGCTCACCTTAGTGACACTGCTCATGTAATCTGTGTTAGTTGAAACACAACTGAAGGCCGCTCTTGATCTCACTAGCTTGCACGACATTCTTCTTATCATCATCCTTAATGAGATATAAAATATATTTCCAATGAGGGACGTTTCCCAGGTTTTTTGGCAGATACACGGAAAGACAGCTTTCATCAACCAAGTATATTAACGAAATTAATATTAACTAGCAGAAAAATTAAGGCCAGGCGGTCAGACCTCGCCAGCAATGACAGAAGACACCCCCTCGCACAGCTCGCTGCTGCCTCCCTGCCGCAGTTGGAGAAGCAGCGCGGGAGGGTTAGGGCGAGGGAGGCGCTGCGCCCGGAGTCCTCCCGCCCTGGAGGAGGGCGGCACTCCAGGCCGCGCGCGGGGGGGGTTGGGCGCGAGGTGGGGCGAGCCGTTATCCCCTCCCTCCCCTACCGAGCGGGGAGAAAAAATCGTTCACGTCCCCACGGCAACAAGGTTTCGTGTATGTGTATGTGTGTGTGTGTGTGTGTGTGTGAGTGAGTGAGAGAGAGAGAGAGAGAGAGAAAGAGAAAGAAAGAGAAAGAGAGAGATCTGTTCGCGTCCCTGCGGCGGAGTGCAGTTGTTTCCGCCTCCTCCTCTTCCACCCATGTCCTTGCTGCGCGGGCCGCGAACCCGCGGGTCCTGGGCCACTGCCCGGAAGGGGCCAAGGAAGCCGGCGTCGGCCAAGCGGGATTGGGACGTAAGTGCTTCCCTTTCCCGGGTACTGAACTGGACCACCGCCGCGTCCTCCTCCTTCCTTCTCCTCTCCCTCCTTTTCCTTATTCAGCTCTCGCGGATCCTGGGGATGGTGGGTGCCTGAAGTCCTGCAGTCCAGTAAAGCGGTTGCTGCCCTTATCTCGCTTGCTGGCAGCCAGAAACCTTGCAGGTTGGCTCGAGTTGAGTTTTTGGAAAAACTTTCTGCAAAGCTGTACCTGCCTTTGGGGATTGTTGCTCCGTGGCCTTTTCTGGCAGGCCTGTTTTGGGCAGCAAGGCCTGCGTGACCTGACTGTGGCATGGATTGTGCCTCCTGGGTGGCGTGCAGTTTATGCTGTCTCTGCACCAGATAAAGACTTGGAGATTTTCCGTGCTCCAGGAAGTGTTGGTTGGTGGAAGCCTTTAGAGATCACCTATGTTGTGGGTCGAGTGAGATTGTTACCAATACTAGATCGGCCAAACCAACCCTTTCTCCAGCTGAAATTTGAAAATCTTTCAGGCAGATCAACCACCTCTCCTGGTGCCTTTCCTAGGGAGGCACTGCCCTTCTGTTAAGAATATTTAATATGTTATAAAGTTAATACAGAGTTCTGGAATTTAGTTTCTTTTTGTTGATTCTTCTGCCTTTCTGACCTTTTTCACCAATCTTGAACCAGCAGGATGAATTGGTGTCTATGAAGCTTTGCGGTATGTAGTTGTGTCACTCTTTTACCAGGGCCATTAAAGATGTTTTTGCAATTTTCTCCAACTTAGGCCTGAGTGAAAAGAACAGAAGGAAAAGGCAGTACTTTATTTATTTATTTAGGATACCGACAGTTTTTAAGAGCCCTAGCATGAAAACATGCAGATGTAGAAAGCTGCAAAAAAGAGACAACCAATTTGTCATTTGGTACGAATGTGGAGGAAGAGGATACCATGACAGGGAATTTTGTCTACGTTGCATGGGTGTGACTGACATTATTATATAGGCCAGTGTTTTTCAGAGCCCTTATACAGTACACTTGCCTACAGATGGAAGGCTTAGTATTACCTTTGTTGCAGTCATGGCTGATTATTTTTGTAAACAACTGTGGGGCTTATGACTCTTTTCATTTCTCTGAATTGTTTAAGGCTATGCCTTCTGATCTGGAACCTGCTAATACTTTAGACTACGTGGTCTTGATAGGAGTAACATTTTTCTTCGTTGTTTGTTTTCCCAGCAAATGTTTAAAAGTTTTATGGTTGTAAAAAAATATACTGTTGTATAATTTTAAGGGTTTTTTTTTGTTGTTGTTGTTTTTTAAATGAAACTTAAATCCAGTCCTTCTCTCTCCTTGCTTGTGTCTTCTCCTCTGCAGAGTACAGTCCATGATTTAACAGTTCATCGAGCAACTCCTGAGGAACTAGTAGGTTAAAAATTTATTCTTACTTCTTCTCTAGGTGATATATATGGTTACCTAGCATAAGAGTTTATTCTGTTTATGGCAATACTTTTCTGACAATACTTTTCTCTCTCCCTTGAGCTTCTGAAAATATTGAGCTTTTAGTGTTAGGACTTTAATTTTCGTGTTTCACATCTACATCTGTCCCTCTGGCAACCAGAGTTTTTAAGTTTCTGCCTCCATCAAGAAGTGCTATGCTTTTGTTTCAGTATTTACCATTATAAAAATAAATGAAACCCCAGGGGATTAGTCTAAAACTAGGTCTCATCTCTGCTGAAAGGACTGAAAAACATGTTTTATTCTGAGAATTTCTCTAATTCTAAGGGTATTCATTTTTTCGTTAAACAATTTACATTAGCTTTTTTAATACTAAAAGATTTATTCTTTACAAAGCAGAGCATAAGCATAAAAGTATGCCACTCTAAGTTTTGCTGGCTTTCTTTACCAAGATAGAATAGACAGGATGAACTGTTGTTGATATAAATTTGTGTATTTGAGAGGCTAGTCAGGACAGATGGAAGTTATGGGGGAGAAGGACTTGATTCCATAAGTGACTGGCTTGATAGCCTTTAACAAGCACCGCATATTTAATTTATTATTCTTTAAACTACGCATATCTATTGCATTGTTGGAGGAATCATCACTGATGATTGACACTGGTGTTAAATTAGGAAAATGCATTTTGTCTTTTTACATATCTCATAAGTGGGAGTGTTTGATTTTCCTCCCTTTACGGAAGAGAAGACTCTTGCTGACTCCTTTATACAGAGTAAAGGAAAGCAAACTTTGTTTTTATTACCTTTGGAGCAACTAAAATTTCTGTATTAATTTGGTTTGGTTGATACTAGTGGCATTTGACACTTATGGATGTTCCTGAGGTGGTCATTGGTATTACCATGAAATTATAAAAAATGGTGTTCAGTGAATGAGTGATAAAATCAGGAAAAAGTATTTGTTAGTATTGCCCTGCTGCTTCTGGTTTAGATTGCCCTTTGATTTTGAACTGTGTTCTTCAATATTTCTGTAGCTGCGTCGTCATGAACTACACAAGTCGAAAAATAGAACGCTAGTGCATCTGGAACTACAAGAGAAAGCACCAAAAAGAAAATGGGGGAAGCAAAAACAAATGGCTCACGGTTCCTTGGAGAAAAGGAAATTAACTCTGATGCGTGAGGTGAGAGCAAAATGTGCACTTTCAGCCTAGGTAGTCTACCAAAACACACACAGCTGTATTTTCCTGTCTTTCCTACTGTTCTAGTTAATTTGCAGTAGTGAAATCTGCTCTTGCACATAGGACAAATTTTGCTCTTCCTATTGACTAATTGGATTCCAGATATGCAGACATGCTCCCTTTTCTGCATGCTTCATGTTGTTTCAATAAGGCAATGACTGGAATAGGCTGCATGAAATCAGCAATTATAGAACTCTTAAGATTTGTTGTTGTTTTTTTGTGTCTTAACTATGCAAAACAGTTCTTGTTCAACCATGAACTGTGAAAAGATGAGCGCTATTTGTGCTGTTATTGTTGTCTCCCAATCTTCTCTCCCTACTTATATATAGTTCATTGTGTGGTGGAAATGTGGAGGGAAAGGTTTATCTGCCATTGCTGCATTTAAAGAGAGAAATGGTAGAGCCATAGGGGCAAAAAGGGTGAGGTAAGGAATGAGCAAGAAGAACCTGCTTAGAAAAAAGAATTACAACGCAAATGTTGAGGAGTTACAGTAGTCAGCAGACAAGCTTGTCATCTGTGAGTCAAGTGGCTGCTTCTCTAGCTGGTTTGAAGTACTCTTACTGGAATTGTTAATATTATTTTATATGCTTTTGAATTTTTCATTATATCAGCAAACTCAAGCTTATCTAAGAGCTAAGACTAAGACTTAGAGCTAAGAGCTTATCTAAGAGTTTATGACTGCTTCAAATTATACTTGGGACTATACTAGGACATCACATAATAAACATAATCAACGTAATCATTCTGCCGTTATACAAAATTCCCTAATCTAATAGCAACATACTTGGAGGTTCAATAATACTTCAGTTCAGAAGCCAGTTACATATCACACAGGTAGATTAGATCAGGAGCTCTAAGAAATGGTTGGATTAGATGACTTTGTAATTCAGATGTGAAACCCATGGTTAGGAAAGTCTTTTGTATTTCTTGCCTTTTCTAATGCTGATTTTAATGCATATTTTTCTAATTCCTCTTGAGTCTTTCTACCTCATATTTGAGAGAGAACTTTTAATCAGCATACTCTATTTCTATTGAACCTTATTTTTGAATGAGAGAATGTGTACTTCTAAATAGGAAAACAAAAAGAGATAATATCAGACCAAATGAAACACACTTGGGTTTTGCTACTAGAAACACTGGTCTTTCCCTGTGTGCTGAGGAAAAGATGAATGGAGAAGAGTCATATTTTTTTCCCTATCCTCATCTAAAATCCTTTTAGTTGGTAGGTCGACTCATTCAGAATAGCTAGGTTGACTCTTTCCTCTGACTCTCCCAGTACAGTTCATCCACTCTAGATTTTCTGCTTGTCTGTCTCAAGTTAGTAATATTTTGTCAGTAATGTCTACTGCTCTGAGAACTCAGCTTTCTTAAGTCTCTTGACTCGTACTCAGCTGCAGAAGCATCAGAAAGAAAACTAAGGAGATACTGTTAATAGTTTTTTTTTCCTCTTATAGTGAAGTAGAATCATAGAATCACAGAATGCTTAAGGTTGCAAGGGACCTCAGAGGTCATCTAGTCCAACCCACCTGCTCACAAAGGGTCACCTAAAGCATATGGCACAGGGCTGTGTCCAAGCAGATTTTAAAGATCTCCAAAGAACCTCTCTGGGCAGCCTGTTCCAGTGCTCTGTCACCCTCACTGTTAAGAAATGTTTCCTTAAGTTCCTCTGGAACTTTTGGTGCCTCAGTTTGTGGTCGTTTCCTCTAGTCCTATCTCTGTCCACCACTGAAAAGAGGCCGTCCCTCTTGCCTTTTTGAAGTGCCTCCTTCTTGCCTTTTTTGAAGACCGGCGTGACGTTTGCTTTCTTCCAGTCCTCCGGCACCTCCCTCGTTCTCCAGGACCTTCTGAAGATGATGGCGAGCAGCTTGGCTATGACATCCACCAGTTCCCACAACACTCTGGGGTGCATCGCATCAGGGCCCATAGATTGCCTTCCTCTCTCCAGCTCTCTTGCGTCCCTAGGGCCTGGGATTCTAGAGGGCTGTCCCTGACAAACACCGAAGCAAAGGTGGCATTCAGCAGCTCTGCTTTCTCCGTGTTTTTTGTAACGAGGGTACCCACCCCGTTCGCTAGCGGACCCACGTTTTCCCTGACCTTCCTTTTGTTGTTAATATATTTGAAGAAGTTCTTCCTGTTACTCTTAACATCCCTTGCCAGATTTAATTCCAAGTGTGCCTTGGCTTTCCTCGTAGCATCCCTGCATTCCCTGACAGGGTTCCTTTATTCCTCCCAAGGGACCTGTCCTTTCTTACACATTCTGTATACTATTTTCTTCTGTTGGAGTTTTGCCACGAGCTCCATACTCATCCACGCAGGTCTCCTGTCCCCTCTGCCTGACTTCTTATGCACAGAGATGCGCTCTTGCTGGGCATGGAGGAAATGCCACTTGAAAACTAACCAGCTCTCCTGGGCCTGTCTTCCTTCTAGAGCCCTCTCCCATGAGATCTTTCCAAGCAGGTCTCTGAAGAGGCTAAAGTTGGCCCTCCTGAAGTCCAGGGTGGCAAGGCTGCTTTCTGCCCTGCCTCCTCCTTGTTGGATCCTGAACTCCACCAACTCATGATCACTGCAGCCAAGGCTGCCCCCACCTTCCCATCTTCAACCAAGGCCCTCTCTGTTTGTTAATACAAGATCCAATAGCCCACCTCTCCTCGTGGGCTTCTCAAGAACCTGTGTCAAAAAGTTGTCATCGACGCACTGTAGAAAGTTCCCAGGACTGTTTGTGCCCTGCTGTGCTGTCTTTCCAGTTGATGTTGGGGTAGTTGAAGTCCCCCATGAGAACCAGGGCCTGTGATCGTGAGGCAACCTCCAGCTGCCTGTAGAAGGCCTCATCAACCTCCTGCTCCTGGTCAGGTGGCCTGTAGAAGACACCCACCACAGTGTCTCCCACGTTGGCCTGCCCTTTAACCCTTACCCACAAGCTCTCTACCCACTCGTCATCCACTCCCAGGCTGAGCTCCATGCATTCCAGTTGCTCTCTCACATACAGAGCAACTCCACCACCTCGCCTTCCCAACCTCTCCTTCCTAAAGAGCACATAGTCCTCCATGACAGCACTCCAGTTGTTTGAACTATCCCACCATGTTTCTGTGATTCCTATGAGATTGTGGTGCTGGGACCGCACACAGATCTCCAGCTCATCTTGCTTATTCTCCATGCTTCACGCATTGGTGTATAGGCATTTCTGAGAGGTAATTGAGCCTGAACTTTTCCCAGGAGGCGTGAAAGAAGACCCTCTATAATCATGTCCAAGCCATACTTCCCCATCACCGTATGCCTGTTGGATGCCCGAAGAGAAAGGATGTAAAAGATTGAAGAGAAAGGATGCAAAAGTGTGAATAGATGAGTAAAATAGTGTTTTTAATCTTCTGGAGCTTTGTCTAAAAGTCTAGATGAACAAATAATTTGCATTTGTCTCTATAGCTGTGGATAGTGAATATGTAGTTGCCACATATTCATTGCTAGAGAAAAAATTGGGAAACCAATATTTTCTCTAGCAATGCCTCACTTTAAATTACACTAAAGTGTTAGTAGTGAATGATTTTCCATTATTGGGAAGTGTAGGAATAGTCCTAGTCTGAAATATAAGGGAATATTAATGCCGCCATTGAATTACAGTAAAATTAAACTAGGAGAAGATATGGTAGATGGTGAATAGGGAAAGACATGTAAATGCACCTACAGAAATTATTAGATGGATGATGTCACTTTGTTTACTGCCAATCACAAGCAAACAAATATTTAGCTTGGGAACAGTTCTCTAAAAATGTTCAAAATATGTTCATCAGGAAGGATAATCATAGGAAACCGCTGATGCCGAAAGAGATCTAGTAGAAAAGATGAAGACAAATTAATTGGGATTCTTTTTTTTTTGACTGATTACACGTTGTTTTAGTTTTAATAGGCTTAGGCAAAAGGTCATATTTTGGAGCAGGTGACTTTTTTCCTTCAGCAGGTCTGGAATGATTAAAATTCTATGTCATTTTGCTATGAAACCAATAAACAAAGAACCTAGATATTGTAAATATTGTGTGAGGTTATGTAAGATTGTGTTTAAAAATCAAAACTTTGAACAGTCTTATTTTGGGAGACTGGGTTACATGAGGTGATTAAGGGAGATAGATTTAAGGGTTTTAAATATTTTTGCCAAATGGATGCTGCTTTGCTAAATGGATAGATTAAGGGAGATGGATTTGCTGCTTTAGATGCTTTTTAGATGCTTTGCTAAATGCTTTGCTAAATGCTAAATGGAGCTGCTTTGCTAAATCAGTTGTGAGGAAAAGTGAGGTATATTGCAAGGCTGAGAAGACAGCAGAATGAGATGAAAACGTGAAATGCCATTGTCGGAATTTTTTGAATGGGAGTGAATCTAAAGCTGCAGACTTATCAGTGGACACTGAAGGAAAATATGGATCTTTTCTCTGTCAGTCCCTAAAGTAGGTGCAGTCTCACTGGATACAATGATGAACTGGAGGTCGTATACATTTTTGATCTCACAGGTGTTTAGAACCTTCTTCACAAGCCGTGTATACAATTTTGTGTATTGCCATTTGAAAGTACAAGTGAAAGGAGTTTTGAGTTGTGCTCTGCCCATGGGAGCCATTTCTCCAGACAGCTTCCATTAGCTCATAGTAGAAACACTGCTTGCCTTTTCCTTTAACCTCAAAAGCCTGCCTCCCTAAGCTGACCTGTCATAGTTCCAGTGGTGGACTTCTCTGCGAGAGAGTGACCTCTATTTAGGGAGAAAGAAGTGGAAGCTCTTTAAGGCATCTTGTGTTGCCAGATGTAAACCTCTGTATTTTTGTCTTTTGAAGCTTTCATGAAGTTTTACTGCTTTTATTTTAGGCAGACTTCTTTTATGCAGACCTGCCTGTTGAAAATTCTACCTTAACTGTTTTGAATTTAATAGAAATGGATAATGGATTTTAGGTGTCTGTCAGAGATAAATGAGTCTATGTCTCAAAAAAGCATTGAGATCAAATGATTTGAAGCTGTGCACTGATTTTCCAGTCACCAAGTTTATGTCTTTATTTTGATGAGCATATTGTAAAGCAACCAGCCACTTCTTTGTGTTGGGGTAGGGGCAGAAAAAGAGAGTGAGAGGAGAGGATTGGTTGTAGTAAGAAAGAGTCAAGGCTCATGGGTGTGCTAGTTGTAATAACTATTTATTCATCTTATTTTTCAGAAAAACAAGGTGGATGATTGTAGTCACTCAAAATGAAGCTTGTTCTTTTTATATATCTTCAATAAAGATCTAATCGTGCAGTACAAAGTTAGCAAGCGTTGAATTTTTGGCTATTCTCCTACTAACTGCTTAGAGGAACAGTACCCAAAACACAAAGAAAAAACTAGCGAGCATAGTCTGAAATACTTCCTTATATGCTCTTCTTTCAGATTCTCTCTGATCAATATCAGTTGCAAGATGTGCTGGAACGATCTGATCAGGTTATGGCTGTGGTAAAAGACTTATTTGGGGATGTTCCTCGCAGACGAACAGGTAAATTATCTCATTTGTAAATGGTAGTACCTTTAACCTTTTTTAATAATTGCAGTTGCAATTGAGTTACTAACCTATACAGAGCACTGGTTTGATCCACTCTGGTAGATCTGATTCACTGCTGTGTGATTGAACGCTTTTTCTTGGATGTCTTTTAAGATCTATCAGTAAGTCATAAACAAGGCTTCTAGTTTTCTTCTCCTGTCCTTTGAGTCCATATGCTGCTGGATGGTGGTTTGTGTATAAGACTTTAAATTTAGATTATTTTCTCTGTAGGCTGCCTTTTTCCTTTGCTTATAATGACTATTTCCTCTTATTTACTTTTTTTCCGTGCCATTCTTATTTAAGCGTGGGAGAAAGAAAGAAGCCCAGTATGTGGCTGAATCTATTAAAATAACTGTGGCTGGTCTTTGGCAGTTACTCAAAAGTAGCATACATCCCTCTGACCCTTTCTGTGCAGAATGTGCACACTTGTGTTTTTGGTATGAAGTCCTGATAGAGACCGAGTCCTCCCTGTATCGTACTTTCCTATTTTTATCTGATTCCTCCAGGTTTCCCTAATGTAACGATGGCTCCTAACTGTGGCCTAGACTCTTCTAAAGGACGCATTGTACAAAAACATGATCCTCCCACTCAGCTTTCTGTCCTTAGTGAATCTGTCATGGATTCCCAGGTAACGTGTGCTTAGTTCCATACATGTCCTATGGTATGTGGGTGGTGGTGTTTTCAACACAATATTCAATTCAATTTCAAAACAATATTTCAACACAATATTCAAAGTGATGTATTCAAAGGAAGGATTTCCAAGCACTTCCTTCTGTGTATTGTATGCCACATTGATCATATACAGAAAACAGTTGCATTAAATGGAAGTGATTTTTTTTTTTGGCAAGTCTGGGAATCTTGATTTTTGAATGTCTTAAGCTGACTATGAGAAGCACCAATTTGTTATGTCTCATACTGGCATACTGTCTCTTTTAAATAGTGGAATTTTCAAAAAGAGAACAAACGAATTGCAGACTGAAGAAAATGCTCTTGGGCCACTTAACTAATTGCCAGCTGTGGCAATATGCCCGGGAGGTTTCATTTTGTCAGCATATGTGGTTGCACAGCCATCTGGCTGTGATTTATTTCTGATCATGCTTGTGTAAATGTATCCTAGCTGACTGCAGTCTTGACAGTCCTTTGAGTTCAACTTTTAATGCTTCACATTATTTTACAATTTTTAGATTTACTTCCAAAGTAAAATTTTAATGTCATTATTTAATTTGCTTCAGTGTTCTGTGACATGAATCATTACAGGAATGCTTACTTTGGCTTAGATGACGCATATGAAAGTTCTGAAAAGTAGCTCACTGTGGTGAAGACTGAGGGGACTGTGCAATGCAAATGCCTTTTCTAGCAAAACTGTGGTATTCTCATGAATATCTAATCCTATTTTCTATTATCTTGAACAAATATGCGCAGTTTGAGTTGCAGTATTGCTCTGTTATGCTTTCTTGTGTTTGTGTTTTTTGATATGAAGGGTTTTTTTCGTAGGCTATGAACTCTATATACAGAGTTTATTATATACAGAGTGTATATAGAGTGTATCTATCACTGGATGCATGTGTGGTGAAATAGGCTTAGACGCTTAAAATAAAATCCTACTGGGTAGGTTTCTGACAAGCTTCTGTGAGACTTGCTTTCCTTTATATGCCTGTGAAATAGTCATGCCTATGAAAATCCCATAGGCATGAGAGTTATGCCTCTGAAAATCCTGGTTGAAGGCGATTTGGTGAAGTCTCTCTGCTGATATTGGAAGTTGTAGAAGCCCTAATTCCAATTATGATTACTCTGAGTTTGGTATGTGATATGCAGGACATGGTGATTGCTTGTATGTGATTGCTTTTTAATACATAGAATGAAAATACAATTATGCAGATTTAATTCTAAGGAGTTTTGTTTGTTTGTTTTTAAAATAAAGTGACTGAAACTTCAGAAATGCTGTAATTTAGATTCCCGTTTCCATCTTCTTGCTGTTCTTCTTCTGTATTTATTGTGGAACAAACCTTAAAACTATATTTTTCTTTATTCTTTAAATCCAACTGTGTTTTGAACTTTGATTTGTTCTCTTCTTTTCTGACACAATTGTCAGTATTGATATTTCTCAGATACCATGTATTTCTTCAAAACTTTCCCACATAGATGTGCATTTTTAGCTTTGTTTTGGAGGTGGGAAATGACGTGCTTATTTCCTTGAAACACTTTCATGAAAATTAAACAAATTGATATTTCTTTCTAAAGACAGTTTGAAAGTTCTGAAATCCTTATTGTTTTATTTGTTGATTCCTACAAAAGGCTGTTAATGAGGTAGAAGAGGAAACATCATCCATCTGTCAATCAGATGATGAACAGCATGACTCTTTTGATTTCAAATTCAGCATCAACTCTGACAGGTCAGTACAAATATATTAATTCAGATTTCTATCTTAATGTTTGAGATAGAGTTAAAAGGATATTGTGTGGGAGCAGTTAGTAACTTTTTTTTCCGTTAATGAATTATAGGTATATTCTTGACCAGAATTCCAGGGAAAGCCTTTGTGAGACTCTTGAGATCTGTGTGAATGGGGAACTCATGTAAACAATTACAGCTACTTTAAAAATCTCTGTTTACATAGTAAATACTACCTACAGCCATAGTATTATCATGTTACAATTCATTGTCACTCTTGTTTTGAAAGTAGACTACTCCAGTTATTGAGAGAAGAAAACTCTTCAGGGAATTCTCAGTTATGGTCTGAAAAGGAAGAAGGAAAAAACACATTATCACAAGAAGCAAATATACCTTCGACTCCAACTACAACTTCTCCTTTGTTGGAACATTCAGGTTGGATTTGCCCAAGTGCAGTTTCTCAAGGGACATTAAGCTGCTAACAAGATCTTATTAGTGTGGGTGATGGATGGAGATGTGTTAATCTAGCTCAGATGAATTTCTAGACCAAAAAAGGACACTCTTTCCATAAAATTACTTTAAAACGTTTTCCTGTTGGGGCCCTTCCTGAAGTATTTTAAGGGTTTTTTTTGTTTGTTTGTTTGTTTTGTTTTGATTTGATTTTAAATCAGCCCTCAATGCTAGCAGTGAAGTCAAGAGAATTCATTCAAGGCTTCTGAACAAAGAGGGAGAAGAGACTATGAACCCTATGTACACGGTGAAACAAGTGCTGAACCCAGACTCAAGGAAACAAAAGCAAATTGCAGCAAAAGGTGTAGTACTTTTAAAAATAGCATACTTGTCTTTGACAAAGGTCTTTATGTATGGGAAAACATAGGTTGAAAGGGATGTTTTGAAGTCCTCTGGTCAAACTTCTGCTAGCAGCAGATCAAACTCCAAAGTTTGGTTAGGTTGTCCAGGGTCTTGTCCAAATGAGTTTTGAACACCTCCATGGGTGGACTTTCCATAGGCCCCTTGGACAATGTATTTAAGCATGGTCTGCATTTTCATTGACAAAACAAAGTCCATGAGATGTAGGGAATCATATATATAGATATTTAATGCTGCCCATTTTGTTGCTAGCCATACTGATCTCTTCTCTGTGGTGCTTTCATGCTCTTAAGTAATCTTGCCTTTGCTATGTTGTCCAGATTTATGGTGATTTTCAATTTACTTAGTGAGCATATGTTTACAAATGGGGATTGACATCCAAAACAAACCCATGACAAAGAGAGATTGGTACAGAGGACTCATCTGAAATCATCTCAGCTAATCATTTTTCACTGATAGTTCATCAGCAAACTGTTTCTGTGCTTTTAACTGAGAAGAGTGAAAGTATAGCAGGTATCTTAAGTTAAAAGAAGGAAACCATGATTCTTAGGAGGCAGTAGTATGATGGCAGAATAAGTGGTTTTGTTCTTTCTTTCTTTCTTTTTTTTTTTAATTTGTTTTCCTTTGATGATCTGAAGATAACTTAAGTGACTGGGGATATATTTTTGATGGCCTATTATAGTTCAGGGCCAGAGAGCATCTCTTCTTGGACTTGCTTCAACAAAGATTTAATGCAATTTCATTGACATTACAAGCTTTCTGTATGAGTTGAAATTTCAAGCACTTTTCTCCCTTCCTTAGTGAAAAGGAAGCAAGCTACACAGAACTCTTCCAGACAGAGGATGGGTGATTCTCATGCAAATTCATTTCCCCTTGACCTTCCAAGGGACAATAAATCTAGCCTGGATGTTCTCAATTGCATGATAGACAAAGTAGAGCATGAGCTGGAGGAATATGAGCGATGTACAGGCCGTGAGGTTCAGAAAACACGGAAAAGTGAAGGCCTTGCCGGATTTACCTTGTCATTGGTGAATGCTCTCTGTCGTTTAATGTGCTACCTTAAAGAGGTGAGAAGACTTTGAATTGCCCCTGTAGAATGGTTATAACAATTAAAACTTTTCTTCTGCTAGAAATAGGTATCTGTAATGAAAAGGAGGGAGTTCTCTGCAATGAATGTCTCCTGGAGCTAACAGCAGAACTTACTAATTAAAATAGTCTTAAAATTCTTTGCTTAAATATGTTCTGATTTGCAGCATATTATTAACTTCGGCTTTGTTTGCAAACTGCTTTTCTTCCTTGTCTTTCCTTTGCAAGTGGGCTTTTTCTTCGTTTTGTAAATATTCCCTCACTTACCTGAAAAGTGGAGGTGATAACTCCTGCTCAGTGGCAAAGATAACTGAAGCAGTAGCCACTACTAGCTACCTGTTCTGCTCTTCTCTATTGTAGTGGGATGGCTTAACAGATATTTAGTGGCTCCTGAGCTGCTGTAACATGTATTTGTTTATTGAAGTAGCATGACATTGATTCTGGCTTCCTTTAACACTCAGAGCTGTAAACTACAACAGAAGTTGTCATACTGCATTTTTAGTCCCCACAACTAGGAGCAGCCAGCAGAGTGCCAGGACCAACAGCTGGATTTGGTAACTCTAACATGATGTTATAACATCATTTGTTTATTGAATGCTGTGACTCAGAATGTCTTCTGCTGTTATGCTTTAAGATTTTCCTACTTCTAGTCTGAGTGTAAGATTTTTCTGGATCTTTTCTCTGTGGTCTCAGACCTCATTTTTGATGCACTCAGTATGTATATTGTAAAGTTTGTATTATACATTGCTTCTCTTTTGAAAGGTGTTTGCCAGCTGTTGCCTTCTGCAAAACTCAACTTGCAAGGGCCTAGAAACTTATCTTGCATTAGAAAATCTGAGCTTTCATATCTGAAACAATAAACTTCATCAGATGATGTCAGTGAAGCCAAGCATTCTCTTTCCTTGTTTCATGACTTAAAGGAAGGAAGAGGGGAGGGGGGGAAGTCTTTCAGAAATTTCAAGATTTATATGCTGATAGTCACAGCTGATCATCTGACATCCAGCTTTTGCACTGCTAACTACAAATTAATTTCATTGAATAGCATTGCTTAACCTCTATTCTGAGCTATCAGTTGGAGAGGTTGTATTTGTACAGTGTACATGCATACAGTGTATACATGTTTCAGTAAGATATCTCTAACAATAAATAAGATCTCATATCTGACAAGGGATGGGTGATGAGTACTGAATGCCTCTCATCTCAAAGGGGATACTGTTGTCATCAGAGGCCCACATCCCCAGTTTTGTTAGAAGAAGGTATTTGTTAGTTCCCCATTATTCTTGCTTAATGTGGAATTGCCTTTATAATCTGAAGTGGAGATATATAGAGCATATATATACAGTTGGAGACTGGTGGGATTCATTAATTAAGACTTAATTTAAACCACGTGGAATGCAAAAATAAATGGAAAAGAACCAAAAAACAGCTGGCTGTTTTCTGGTATGCTTAGAGGATAATAACTGCATGTCTTTGTGACAGGTTCTGCACTTTTTCTTTGTCTCTGCACCAGAAAAGAACAATCTAACTGCATTTCAGGCTCTCTTGTGTTTTGGAGATAGAATCAGGAATTCCTTGAAGTATATGCAGGCAGCCATTTGGGGAAGAGCTCCATTTATTTATCCTGGTTTGCCTGTCTCTCTGTAACCTCCACTCCCTGTTAACTACAGTGGTTCAAAAAGAGACAGTCATGTACTTTTTCCTGTCTCTGAGCAAAAAATGTCTTGTGGGTTCCTCCTTGTGCAGGAGAAGGCTTGTCTACTAGAACAGCCTATGTTGAAATTGGAGTTTGTTGTTATTTTTTTGAGGGTAAGAGGTTCTTCACTATAAGGTCGCTTGCTTCAAAAAATAGACTTTTTGGCTCCTCTTAAAAAACCTCAAGCCATCTATTTATTTATTTATTTTCCTCTATGATGAAAAGCATTAGAAAAAAATCTTCTTTATTTGGTCAAACTTGTCTTCATTAGTGAGTTTAGGGAACTTCATTCCTTCAGTCCTTCTAGTCATGGTGGAAAGAGCTGTTTCAGTATAATGTGATGTGACGCTGTTACTGTTTTCAAATATGAGACTTTATTGATTAAAGTAGATTTAAAACTTTTTCTCACTTTTTTTTTAGAGTGAAATGCAACTGCATGAGAAAGACCTGATAAGGCAGCAACATGAGGAGATGTTGAATGAACATAGAGAATTGATTGATGCTTTGACTGCAGAAATCCTTCTAGTGAGGGAAGAAAACATTACTATACAGGTACTGAGATTTACTGAACCTTCCTTCCTTCCTTTTGTCTACTGCTGGAACTTATTTTGTAGTCTTCCATGAAGACTTTGAAGTCTTATTTCAATTCCTAATGCTTCATGTATTCCTTTTAGTGTTTCAGTGGTCATAGAATCAAAGAATCCTTAAGGTTGGAAGGGACCTCTAGAGATCATCTAGCCCAACTCCTCTGCACATGTAGGGTCACCTAGAGCATGTGGCACAGGATTGCATCCAAGTGGATTTTGAAGATCTCCAGAGGAGGAGACTCCATAAAATCTCTTGGCAACCTGTTCCAGGGCTCTGTCACCTTCACTGTCAAAGAAATGTTTCCTCAAGTACCCGTGAAACTTTAGGTGCTTCAGTTTGTGGCCATTTCCTCTAGTCCTATCAGTGGCCACCACTGAAGAGAGGCCAGCCCCATCCTCCTCACTCCCTCCCTTGAGTCATTTATTCCTTCTCAGCCTTCTCTTCTTCACGCTGAACAGACTCAGTTCTCTCAGCCTTTCCTTATACAGGTGTTCCAGGTCCCCGATCATCCTCATAGCCCTATGCTGGACTCTCTTCAGTAGCTCTACATCTCTCTTGTAGTGGGGAGCCCAGAACTGGACACAGTACTCCAGATGTGGCCTCACTAGGGCTGAGGATGATCACCTCTCTCGACCTGCTGGAGATGGTCTTCTTAATGCATCCCAGGATCCCACTGGCCTTCTTGGCCACGAGGGTACCTTGCTGCCTCATGGTCAACTTCTCATCCACCATGACACCCAGGTCCTTCTTTACAGAGCTGCTCTCCAGAAGGCCAGTCCCCAGCCTGTACTGGTGTCTGGGGTTATTCCTCCCCAGGTGCAGGACCTTGCCCTTGTTGAACTTTATAAGATTTTTCTCTGCCCAGTTGTCCAATGTGTCCAGGTCCCTCTGGATGACAGCGCAGTCCTATGGGGCATCAGCTACTCCTCCCAGCTTGATATCATCAGCAAACTTGCTGAGCAGACACTCCGTCCCTTCATCCAGATCATTCACGATACATTGAACAGGACTGGACAAAGGACTGACCCCTAGGGGACACCTACAGGCCTCCAACTGTACTCTGCACCACTGATCAACACTCTCCGAGCTTTGCCATGCAGCCAGTTCTCAATCTACCCCACCACCCACTCATCTATCCCACACTTCTGGAGCTTGCTCGGGAGGTTGCTGTGGGGGACGATGTCAAAAGCCTTTCTGTAATCCAGATAGATGACATGCACTGCTTTCCCCCTCATCTACTTAGCCAATCATTCCATCCTAGAAGGCTATCAGGTTCGTCACGCATGATTTCCCCTTGGTGAATCCATGCTGACTACTCCTGAGCACCTTCCTGTCCTCCATGCCTTCATGCGCTTGGAGACAACAGCCAGGACAAGCTGTTCCATCACTTTTCCAGGGATGGAGGAGAGACTGACTGGCCTGTATTTGCCTGAGTCCTCCTTCTTGCCCTTTTTGAAGACTGACGTGACATTGACTTTCTTTCAGTCCTCAGGCATCTCCTCTGTTCTCCAGGACTTTTCCAAGATGATGGAGAACAGCTTAACAATAACATCCGCAAGCTCACACATCACTCTTGGGTGCATCCCATCAGGGCCCATGGATTTATGGGTATCAAGTTTCCCTAAGTGATCTCCGATGAATCTTCCTTTACCCAGTACAGGTCTTCCTCTCTCCAGGCTTTTTCTCTTGTCCGTAGGGTCTGGGATTCCAAAGGCCTGACCTTGGTAAACACTGAAGCAAAGTAGGTGTTCTGTAACTCTGCTTTTTCCATATCTTTCATAACCAGGGCACCCACCCTATTCACCAGTGGACCAAGTTTTCCCTGATCTTGCTTTTGCCATTGATATATTTGAAGAAGCTCTTGTTATTTTTAACATCTCTCGCCAGATTTTGTTCCAAGCATGCCTTAGCTTTCCTTGTTGCATCCCTGCATTCCCCAATAATATTTCTGTATTTCTCCCAAGGGGCCTGTCCCTGGAATCTGGTCAAATGAGTTCCCTTATCAGAATCTATTACTACCATAACCCAATGTGTGGTATGGTATCTTTTGACACGACTTTTATTACTATTGACGCTGTAGCCTTGCTGACTGGGAATGCTTTTACCCCATAAAATAGTCAGCTAGGACTAGCAGATTTTCCTGACCTTTTTTCAGGAGCATATCTTTGAAATGCATTTGCATATTTTGAAAACACATCCAAGCCCATTTGTATTGTCCTTTTATTTTAGTTTCTGTCTTTCAATAGTGTTGTATTCTACACCTACCAAACACCCTATAATTTTTTGTGAGATGACTTGAGTCAAACTAGTGCTATCCGTGACTGAGAGATTTGTTCTGTAAATAAGACATCTCCTCTTGTGTCCATTTGTGGATGTGCAAATGATATCAACATGATCTTAGGGAGCAACAGATTTCCCTGCAAAAATTGTATATATATGTTATATATATATATAAATTATATATATAAATTATAAATATATATATGTACTTAAATTCTGCTCTTAGAATCCTAAGAGCATCTCTTAGGATGCTCTTCCTTCCATCTCTTTCTTAGTTGTTGCTTGGTGTCCTGTTTCCAATTTCTCTAAAGCCTCAATCATTACCATTTCTTCTTGGTGAGCAGTGGTTGTAGAGCAGTTGCTTTCACTGTGGCATCGACACATAGTTACTTTGCAAGTGATCTCTTGGTGAACCTTTTGCTACGGGATTGCTAACTGCAAAGGTTTTTCCAAAGCCTTTATTAACTCTAAATTCTGATCTCAGTGGACTATTTGATGTCCTGCTGCTGTCAAAAAACTCCCTCTCTCCAAATTATTCCTGTTGTAAATGCTATTCTAAAATCATGTTTTGAGACTGTAAACATATTAACTTTTTTTTTTTTTTTTCATGGCTATAATACATGCTTGGGTTAAAGCTATCAGTTTTGCTGCCTGAGCTCCAAAATTCCCTGGAAGGGATATAGCTTGCAGTACTATGTAAGTTATTGCATACCCTGCAGTCCTTTGACCCTTTTCATTGTATGACAGTTCATGACAGAACATTAAAAATTGTGCAGAGACTCTCCTTTCACAGTAGGCAGAACAAATTTTGGCCTCAAATCTATGGTTTCCAAACAATCGAGAAATATTCTTTCTTTGGGTTGTAGTATTTTTGGTAACAAGGTATCTGGGTTTAGCTCATCACACTTTTCTAAAAGCACATTTGTCTGAGTGAGCAAAACTAGCTCATACCACTGTACATTTTGGTGGGTAAACAGCAAATGATACCGCTGAGTCATGACCATTTTCACTGTATGAGGCATTATTACAGGTAAGTAGTGTCAAAAGCAATATTCACCTTCTCAGTGGTTAGAGCCATTGCTGGTACAACTGTAGCACGCCCCATCATTCCTTGAAATACTGGATCCAGCTGTACTAAATAATATTAAGTTATTGCATGCCAGCACTGGGCAGTTATTTGTGTTATTTTGGTATCTTATGTTATTTTGATAACTGGGAAGTTATCTTATTGACTGTGAGTAATGTACTCACTCATTTCGTTACTCACAGTCAATAAGTCATCTACCTATTGTTTTAGTTTAGTGGTTTTGACAGTGCTATAATTTGTAAATTCCTTTTTAATAATCTTGAAACTCCATGGTCAGAGGGAATCAGCAAATACCTGTGGTAGACTGCTCCATATATACAGCTGTCCTTTCCAACTGAAGGCAAAATGGAGTGAGTGCTGGTATACAAAAGAAAGCCTTTCTGTGCTGATATACGAAAGAAAGCTGCTGTTAAATCCAAAGCAGTAAAGCAGCTTGCATCTGAGGGAATTTGCATTAGGACTTGGATCAGATCAGGGACCACAGGATGTGGTAGATGCATTATTTTATTATTGCTCACAAATCTTATACAAAATGGTGTAGTGTTTTCCTCCTTGGGTCCAATTTTGATCTCCTGACAGGCAATACAAGGGTGTTACACGGGGAAGTACATCATACTATAATCTATTCTTAATGAAATCAGCAATCAATTCCCTGGTCAGCCTCCTGGGAAAGAGGGCACTGTTTTGTGGCAGGCCACTTGCACCTTTTCACAAAAAAAAATCATAGGTACTGCTGAATTCAGCAGTGCTGCTTCATTTCTGGACTTTGCCCAAACCTTTTCATGAATATCTTTTAGCTCATTAATGGTGCACCCACCACTATCATCATCTGGCCAATTATTTTTGGCAGTTCCAGTATAAAGCCTGCACTGCTGAATACAATTCTCACACACTGTTTTCCTGATACCTCTCTTTCTAAAAGATAAGTAGAGCTGTTTTCCATTATAGCAAATAGATATTATAACTGCCAGGTACTATTTTCCATAAATAAAATAAAGCGACAGTAGTCTTCAGCATTTTAGAATGTCCTTTAATACCTTGTGCTTGTATTTTGTGATATTTTGTATGTGTATTTTGTGTATTTTGTATGTGAGCTGGGCCTGTTTACACTGGAGAAGAGAAGGCTCAGAGGGGATATGATTAATATGTATAAGTTCAGGAAGGGAGAATGCAGGGAGGAAGGGGACAGGCTGTTTTCACTGGTGGCCAGCGATAGGACGAGGGGTAATGGCCACAAGCTGAAGCACAAGAAGTTCCGTCTCCAGGTGAGGAGGAACTTCTTTACTGTTAGGGTGACAGAGCAGTGGAACAGGCTGCCCAGGGGGGTTGTGGAGTCTCCTTCTCTGGAGGTCTTCAAAACCCGCCTGGATGCCACCCTGTGCCACATGCTGTAGGTGTGCCTGCTTGAGCAGGAAGGTTGGACTAGATGATCTCTAGAGGTCCCTTCCAACCTTTAACATTCTGTGTGATTCTGTGATTTTCTTCAGACTCATATGTAAGTTGCTAACAGTAGTATCTCTTGTAAATTCCCTCCCTGTCATCTTGGAGCATGTTTTCTGAAATACTCTTGTGTCTGCAGTGCCTCTTGGTGCGCAAATAGGTTTACTTGGCAGTCTTTCATTAAAATTTTCTGTACTCATCCTTCCATGACGTAATAAGGCTTCCCTCAACAATTCCAAAAATCATTCTGGTGTTGTTCAGTTGCCTTACTTCCTCAGTTCTTTCCTAGTTAGTGCCTGTTTGCCCTCCAACTCTTTTTGCTAAATTAGATTTTGGCAGCCCAGTCATTTGCATTATAATCCCAATTCAGATCTACTTGTGGCCAAAGTTGTTGGTTTCCATCTTGAGCTCTTAATCCCCTATCCTTTTCCAATATACATTCTCTATTCCTTGGCTGAAATAGCTGTTGTAACAGTATTTTAACATCATCTCAACAAAGATTATGTCCCTATACTATTGTAGAAAATAATCTAGCTGCCTTCTCCAGGGCTTCCCTCACCAGGATGTTTGCTGTACACATTGAACTATTCCTGGAACCCACAGCTGCTGAATTTAGGCATGTAACATCAGTGGAGGGGAAGCTGCTGGCCTGGTGCAGCTGAAGACTCCATAGCTGGGTTAGATGCTAAAACTCCAGTCATAAGAGCTTGCAAAGCAATGGACTGATTTGCTGGAGGAAGGGATGGATATGGAAGTAGAAGCAGATTCAGGTGCTGAAGGAGAGCCAAAGCTGTTACTTCAGTCTTTCAGCATTTCCTATGTAAGCATGTCTTGCTTCATTTGAATCTCTGAATATCCTTCAAGGCTTTAAATGCCCTCTTATCCCAAATATACCAGTAGTCCATTTGCTGAGGATTCCATTCCTCTAAGTCATGCCACATGAAGGTCAACTTACCCTATTGAATGAACCATACTGAGGCCACAGCTCGGAGTGTATCCCCTCAAGTTTGTAGCAGCTGTTCTTCCTGACAGAGGCTAATGCTCTACCCTTACTGAGGCCTGAAGTATCACTGAATGGTTGAGATTGGAAGGGGCCTCTAGAGATGATCTAGTTCAAACTCCCTGCTCAGGCAGGGACACTGAGAGCAAATGGCACACGGGGTCTGGAAGATTTCCGGAGAAGGAGACTCCACAGCCTCTCTGGGCAACCTGTTCCAGGACTCTGTCACCCTCATAGAAAAGAAATCAATCCTTATATGGAGTCAAGGTAAACAACATCCCCCGCTCTCCATGACCACTCAAAGATGGTGGAGAGTGGCTGAGCATTAATCTCCTCCAGTTCCCTCAGCACTCTTGGGTGCATCTCATCCAGGCCCATTGGTTTATGGGTGTCCAGTTTGCCTAAACAGTCTCTAACCTAAACCTCCTCGACCAGCAGAAAGTCTTCCTTTCCCCTAATTTTCTCTCTTGTGTCCAGTTTTCTGAAACCAACCAAATGTTTCCACGCTTCTTAGTTGTACCAATTATCTTGCCATGGTAAGGTGCAAGATAGTTTTGTGCTAGTTCTGTCTTACAATTATTTACTAGCTGACTTTGCACCTTTTGTTGTGTTGCCTTTGAACAACTTTTGGACTGCTGTGGATTAAATGGGCTTCTTTGCAGTTCTTCAGCTTTGTATGAAAAACAGGCTTAAGGCGAAGTCAGATAAGATGTTCTGCTCACAGGACATAGATCTTACATGTTCTGTTGCTGCCAAACTAGAGTATAATGACAATTTTATTAACGGTAATAGATACATTTTCATTTTCTCAGTTTACAGTGGAGGTAGATTTGTATGATGTTTACAGTTGGGAATGAAGCATTAAAGCAATTTTGGAGAGGAAAGGGGGTCAATGAGTTAGGTAAAGGAGGAGCATATAGTTGAGGCAGAGAAGAGAATAAAAATAAATTCACAGTACTGATATTTAACAACTTACTGAAATTTCACAAATTCAGGAAGTGAAGCTAAGTGAGCAGAATTTCTTTTAAGTGCTAGTTGTATATAATCTTCTAATTCATGTTTCTTGAATAGGCATTTCTGAGTGTCGTTTCTTTCTCCTCTCTTAGAAGAAGCTTCAGCAATACATGATATCAACAAATGAACAGCTAACGTCTCTCGTACAATCATTTAAAGGCTTTGCTTTAACAGAATCTGAAAGAGGACAAAGTCCTAATCATTTTGGAATTGCAAGCAAAGGTCCAGCAAACAGCCAAGGTGTGTATGTACATGCATGTGGGAGGACAGAGATAGGAGTTTATCCTTGTGTGGGAAAACTCAATGTTTAGTGGTCTGCTTGAATAAGCACTCTTTATGTGGGAACTTCTGGGAATTCATGTGCCATGGTACTGCTCTGAGCATAAACATTTTGAAACTCATTAAATATATTTATATTAAGTAATACAATATTTTCTATTGATTTCTAAAAATGTAAATAAAAGCTGTATTCCTTCTGCAGTGACATCCTTCTGTCCGGTTCTGGACTTCAAAATTATCTATATAGCTAAATCTTGGGACTGAGCTCTCTAAGTAATACATAATGTTAAAATTAGCCTCTCATCACACATGGGACATTTCTTTCTTATTCTTTCCCATTAAGACGTCTTACAAAGTCAAGTTTAGTTTGAGAGTCCTAAAAAATCCAACAGAATCCTATGAGCCTTTGAAGGCTGCTGAGAGTTAGCAATAGAAATTGCATGGACAGAGTCTCTTTCTTGACATGTTTGGTTTTACCAGAGGTGATACATAACAGACACTGGCAAAGTTAAGCCAGTAACATCTACGAGTAACTTAACATCTAACTGCTTTTAAGCTTCTTTTACCATTGAGCTTGTTCCTAATCCTTTTCCACTCGTGAGCTGTTTAAATGCATCTCCTTTGCTCCCAAGATCACTAATTCCTAGTGAATCCTCTGATTATTTGGAGCTATTTCTGTTTCTTAGTTAAATGTTGTTTGTGTGGACATGGTGTTCTAAAACTTTCTTCCTAATTGTTTCTGTGGTTCTCTACCTGAGAACTCATGTACCATATCCCTTTTTCGGGAGGTAAAAATATCTTTAAAAGGGGTTTTGTTTGTTTGTGTGTTTGTTTTAAAAAGGCAAACAAATAAAACTCTCTTGTTCAACAGTTTTGCAGGTCTGTTCCAAAATCTCTTTATTTATTGGTGTGCCTTCTTGGGAAAAGACTGCTTCCTAAAGTTGCAAAAATAGGTCTTCTTCTCCTACCTCCTTTGAAATGAGAGTTCATGTACCCTTAAGACTTCTGTCTGGGTGTGATAACTTGATGTCTGCTTGGTGGTTTTGCTGGAGAAATCATATGTAAGTTAACTATATTGTAGAACTTGACTGGAGAGAGGACAGTTGCTGAAGAGGTAAGGACAATATCATAATGACAGATAACACGCAAGGATATTACCTTGGAAACACTCTTCTATAAAATCACAGAAAGCTTAAGGTTGCAAGGGACCTCAGAGGTCATCTAGTCCAACCCACCTGCTCACAAAGGGTCACCTAAAGCATATGGCACAGGGCTGTGTCCAAGCAGGTTTTAAAGATCTCCAAAGAAGGAGACTCCACAACCTCTCTGGGCAACCTGTTCCAGGGCTCTGTCACCCTCACAGTCACAAAGTGTTTCCTTAAGTTCCTCTGGAACTTTTGGTGCCTCAGCTTGTGGCCATTTCCTCTAGTCCTATCGCTGTCCACCACTGAAAAGAGGCCAGCCCCATCCTCCTTGCTCCCTCCCTTGAGGTATTTATACACACTGATCAGGTTCCCCCTCAGCCTTCTCTCCTCCAGGCTGAACAGACCCAGCTCCCTCAGCCTTTGCTCATAGGGCGGATGTTCCAGACCCCTGATCATCCTGGTAGCCCTGCGCTGGACTCTCTCCAGCGGCTCCACATCCCTCTTGTACTGGGGAGCCCAGAACGGGACACAGTACTCCAGATGTGGCCTCACCAGGGCTGAGTATATGGGGACGATAACCTCTCTCAACCTGCTGAAGACGCTCTTCTTAATGCACCCCAGGATCCCATTGGCTTTCTTGGTCACCAGAGCACACTGCTTGCCTCATGGTCATCTTGTCATCCACGAGGGTGATAAGGTGAAATATCTTTTGTCAGGGTCAATAAATAGATGGCGGCAGATTCTTAATTCAATCTCGGTAATATGGACTACAAGCAATATGATCGAATAGCGTCTTTTGGCTCTTTGCCTTTGAAGAATTTTTTTGTCCATGTTATTTTTGGATCAGATATGTCCAACTTAATTCTCCAATAACTTCTCTTTTGGAAACAAGTGTTCTAAACAAAGCTATTAATGGAGAATCCAGAGACAGTACAGATAGAGCTGGCTGATAATATATTGAAAATACTGGGATACATTGTTAGCTATAGATTTGATTCATTAGTTTCATTTGTACCTCTTAGGTACGTGCAAAACAGCTAATAACACAGACAGAAACTAGTTGTAGTCTCTGAAAGAGAAGTTTGACTTGAATGAAGAAATAGTGAGAGCACTGGTATGCTCTAAAGAATTTCAAATTCCTTTTCAGCCCATCATTTTTTCCATCAAGCCTGGGGACATTAGGACAAGTACCTAGGTCTGCTTTTCTCAAGAGAATATCACCAAATGCAGTATGATTTAGGTATCAATGCATCCTGAGGCTGTGAGGCTACTTGTGATAGCTCTTTTTGCGCAGCTCAGTGAAGGTACATGCTGTGCTCCAGAGAAAGATTTCTGTACTTGAGGATTAGAAGAAAGTGAGGAGTGTGTAGGAAACATACATCTAGACTGTCTTGTCAGGCTTCTGAATGAAAGGGTGACCCTTAATGAGTTTGTTTCCCTATACTGCTCCTTCATTGTTTGTGTGTGTTTTAAATTCAGTCTCTACTTTGTCTCTTTCTTTAGAGAAAAGCACTTTGAGCTATTATGAGCCCAGGACTGATGCAGGCAACAGGGAAAACATACTGAAATTCCCACATGAGGACGTGCCTCTTAAATTTCCCCAGAAGCCAAGTGCCTCAGGTAGTGTAGAAGCAGGTGGAAGTTTGCCAACTCACATCTTTCAGCCAGCTGTACTGTTGTCACCACCCCAGCAGAAGAGCAGTCAGAAATCGTCTCCTTTCCAGAATGGTAAGCTGCTGGTTGCTATTTCTCTTGCTCTTTCTCTCACTCTGGCTATAGTAGATTTTGAAGTCTGTGTGTTATGTTACCATTTGAATCTTATTGGCCCACATTATCTTTAGAGTTCTATCTTCTATGAAAATGTTTAATTTGGGTGTCTAGGTACTTTGGCCCTATAGCTGTAATCTCCTCCATCTGCACCCAGATAAGCATTTCTTTTCTTTCTGTGCCAATTGCTAATTCCCTTTAGACTTTCTTTTGTAATTCCTCCAAGTTGTCTGTCTGCTTTCTGTAGCCCTCTCAGTGACATTCCATACTGGCAATCTTATTTTATACTGGTTTTGATTATCATTTTGTGTGGCTTGCTGTAGCTCTCTGTCTATGATCTAGAGCACATTTTCTCAGTTTTTCATCTGCTGGTGGTGTAATGGAGAAAATGGAGGACAAAGAGTCTGAGTGTTTCTGTTCTTCTATCAGCTAAGAAATTCTTTTCTCCCTCCAATTTTAATGAAATCATGCGAATACTAAAGTAATTTGCAGTGGGAATTATTAACTCTTTGGAATGGTGAGTACTTGTAGCAGTCTCTTGTGTAAGGGGAGTTTACTCCCTAATGAGCTCCATTCGGGTTAGATGTTGCAATCAAAGTTTCTTCTTGATTATTTTCTCTTGTAAATTGCTACCCTGACAGAATGAAGTCACTGTTAGTTTCTTGACAAGGTTCATATGTTCCTTTCCTTACTGTCCCTTTATTTCTTGTTTTTAGTCTTCAAGATCATCTCTCCGTCAACTGAAAATACTGAGAGAGAACCATGCAGGGAAAGGACCTCACCCTCCTCTCTGGTAACGCAGAGCACAAGTGAGGAAAAATATCTCTTCTCTCAAAGGCAACCAATTTCTCCTGCAGAAAAAGACTTGGAGAGTTCGCAAGAAAAAGTCAGTCTGCCTTCCCTAGGTGATTCTGGAAAAAACAATGCAATTAGAGAATTCTCTCAGTGCAGTGACCTGCTGGGACAGATAGCTGAGCTAACACAGCAGAATTCTTTTATTAAAACTCAGCTGAGCAAATTCAGAGGCTTCTCTGAAGAAAGAGGTGATGGCCTACATCAGCCAGGTCCAATACAAAATATAAACTCTAGTCTAGATACTTCAAAGGAACAGGTGAGAGCTTACTAGGAAAGAAAGGGTAGATTCCCCTTTCTGCTTATCCTCTTTTTGTTTTTAGATTTTTTTCTTGAAACTTAGTGATGTTTTAAGACTCTCTTTTTCAGTTGTTTTAAGGCCTATTTCATATGGTATTTAGTCAATTAAGGGCCTAAATAATATGACAGTGAAAGAAAAAAAATCTGAGGTTTTTTTTTTTTTTTCCACAAGAGGTTCATAAGAAATGTGCTTTTCAGTGTGAAAAGTTAGGTGTATAAAAGTACTTGAAATATGTTAATATGTTGCATGCTTTTTGAAGGAGCAGATTATAAGCTTTTAATATGAAGTAATTATCTATATGTAGACTCAGCTTATAATACCAAAGAGCTTGGAGGAACGAATAGCAGAACTGAATCGTCAGAGTGCAGAAGCACGAGATAAACTATTGCAGCTAATAGACCAGCAAAAATTAGGTGCTGCCTATATGGTCTCTCCACTGGTATCTCCTATTCCACCTCCATCCTTAAATTATACTGGTAAGTACCTAGCTTTAGGAGAAAAGAGACTTAATGCTTTTTCCCTTTCAGGAGTGCTCTATAACTGACTGGATCAGCAATTGTCTCGGTGCACTTGCTCTTAATGACTATGCAGTCTTTTGATTTTAGAGACTGCAGACTTCAGAGAGATAAAAATAGATCACCTAAACTTCTCCTAAAGTTAGTTTCTTAGTTAGATTGTTGCAGATGTCATGCTGTGTGGTAAATTTGTTCTTTGCTCTGCCTTTCTGCAGAAACAGTTCTGCAGAACTGTTGCACTTTCACTTAAGAACAGAGCTAGGTTTTGTTGCTAACAGATAGCAAGAGATTTCCTCAGTGTGTCTAATGCCCAGTATTCCCGATTCCAATTTTATATGTTATTGAATGCTTAGAACATTTTAAGCAAGCCTCTCTACTGCAGAATCTTTTAAGAAAAGATGAAGCATTTATATCAGGCCTCAAAATCACAGAAAAAAATAGTTTTCCAATTCTTAATCACATTTCAGAGTATTTTGTCTTCTGATGCTCTTTCATTAGATTAGTTTGCTGAGTTATTTCCAGTGCTAGCAAAAATAAATAACAAATTTAAAAACACCTGAAGAGACAAATTAGTGAAGAAAGTATTCTTACTGTTTCAAAATCCATGGATTAATTTCTAAATGTAACAATAAGCAAAAATAGTCTTTAGCATGTGAAGGCTGCTTAATCTTTTCACAGTTACTGCAATAGCAGTTAAAATTGTGCAAGAGCATGTATACACATGCTCTATCTAGGCCACCCACCCTTTCCTCCTTCCTAAACTACAGAGAAGGTGTAAAGGGAAGGGCTTGGTAAACAAAGGGGAAGAGAGATCATGCTTGTGTGCACATGTATATGCAGTGACTTCTGCAGTGGGGTCCTAACACTTTCAGGACTTCCACTGCCATTGTAACGTAAAGACGACATCAAAAGTAAATACAAGCTTCTGTGGGCAAAAGGCAGAGGATTTATCTACAGACAAATCATTCTGTATTTGTACATGTTACTCATAGGTCCTCTGAGTATCTGCTTTCACTATTGATCACTTTCAGAGAGTGATTTTGGGGTTGAATGGACCTTCAACTAATTATTTTATGTCTCTTTATATTCTGTGTAATTGTAAGAAGTGAGAGGATGTCCCCACTCCCTGCTCCCAAAAATGGGTAATTTAAATGAACATACTGAAATGTGTTCTCATCAGAATCAAGCTGTTATTTGTCATTTAGAAAATGCAAGGAAGACAATTGAAGTGTCTACTCCAGGAGCATTTGCTATGGACAGTTCCAAAGAAAATACTCCTTCCCCTGCCAGTGTGACCAGTATAAGAAGGTAGATGATTTACTGCTTTTTTTTTTTTTTATTGGCTTATTTTTGTAGCAGTTTGGGTGCATACGTAGCAGAGATAACAAAGAATTTTAGCGTAGTGGGAAGACTGCCCTGTCTTTCCCTGGCTTCACCAGCTTTCCCTGGCTTCATCACAGTCCAATCTGAAGAGATGAAACATAAGTCTGTTAGGTTCTTCATGGCTTTCATTATTTGTTTTTAAAACACCTGCAATTTCACCTAGCACAGACCATATGAGTTGTTGGAAACCACTGATGAAAGGTACCAGATAAGAGTCTGAGATGTGTACCTAAGTGTCAATCCCAGTTTTCATTTCTTTTCAATCTGATTTTGAATGTTTACAGATCTGCAGGTTCCTCTGGCAAACCTTGTTCACCCCTAAGTGCCACTTCAGAAAGTGTGAAATTAAGTCCTGGCAGTCAAAGGCCAAAGGTAAGACTGAAAAATTTTCCATCAGAAGACTTGGTTACTGTGTTACATAAATAGAAAGCTAGAGAGATAAAGAAAGAGAGTGAGCTCTGTCCTGCCCTAAATACACTGAGCTAATAGTAATCACTTCATACCGTTACGTATTCCGTATTTGTTATGTATTAATACATAATTATTATGTATTATGTATTCATTAGGGCAGACCTGAGTGCCTGGAACAGCTATAATTTATAAGTGAATAATCCTGTAATGACTTTTCTACTGTGGCAGCCCCCTCTGTTATAACTGGGAACCTCTGGCAGTCTTTCACTGATGGGTCCCAGAATTTCAAGTAAATATGATGATGCACTAGTAGAGATACATGTAAGAGGTCAGCAAACTGTTGCTTACCAAACCATTACACGTGGCAGCTATTGCAGGATAAAAAGAGTCCAAACATAAAACCACTACTCTAGATTTTTAGATACCTGATTGTCTAAGAGGACAGACTACATTAAAATACTTTTATTGTAGGAAATGCTGCCCTTTTTAATGTCCAAATCTCTCTAGCTTGATAGAGAAGTGAATGTCTCTATTGGGGAAATACAGAATACTTAAGGTAGATATTGCATAAGTTAGGTATTTAAATTAGATAGCATTCCTGCCTTCATGCTGCCTATGGCAGACAGTTACTACATATCAGGGAACTGGGTAATCATACATAAGCCAGCACTAATTAGCAAGTCTGGAGGTTTACAATGTATGAGTTTCAGCTTGTTTCCTTTCTCTAGCAGGTAAAGCAGCAAAAAGAAGAAGGTTGGTTTGCATTATCAATGCATATTATGTAAAGGAAGCTGCACTCAAGTCCCGTTTTATTTTAGAAATGTTCTCATGAACCACAATTAGATAACTGTAATTCTTTCTACGCATGTACCATGTAACTCTGAAGTGCTTGTGTCAGTGCAAAAAGTCTTTATAAAAAGATCTGTAACAGTTAATGTATTTGTGACAATAGAAGTCCTGGAAATGGGTTTCTGAATTGGATGCATTGCTGTGATATTATCTCCTTACACTCCTTTCACAACATGATAAAGCGAGACTACTTTAGAAATACAAATGGGATAAGTATCTATATGATATCGATGTGCAAAACAGGTATCTGGAGTGTATATTGGTGCAAGATATGAGATTTAAAAGAACAAGAAAAAATGAGATGAGGGTATGTACAAACATTCAAAAGCAGCCTGGAGTATAGAAAATTGGTCTATTCCTGCTGGATGAGAAGATGTGTCAGAAATAACTTGTTCCTTCTGTGTTTACAGCTTTCCACAAATCCTAAGAGCGCTGTGTTGACAGTATAGTTAATGTATCAGGGATTGCATCGAGACTTGAGTATTGATTTCTTATTTTTTTTCTTATATGATAAAGTGATTATCTGAAGTTGACATCAGAATCTATTTGTTGTGTGCTATAGTTTCTTTCATAAAATAAACAGCTACATGATGAGTTCAACTGTTTTAAATTAGTCTATATTTTGTCTGTGTATATAATACTCTGTTTTGCCTTTTATGTTTCTGCCTTTTTTATTTTTTTTTCTTTCCTCTCTTAAGTGTTAGTAGAAATGCCCTTCTACTCTGGCCACAGACCACAGTGAGTGTGAAAATAAGGAGCAAGCAGAAAAGTTTCAGCCTGTGCTTTTCCTTGTTGTCTTTTAACAGCTATATCAGTGGCAATTGATTTCTGTTTGAAAATATTTCCTTGAGAAAATATGGCAAAGTTTCCTATAAATTTTCTGATTAGAAAACTCTGAACTAAAAAATCCACTGCAAATAGAGTTATGATTAAGGGACTGGAACATCTCTCGTATGAAGAGAGACTGAGTGAGTTTAGCTTGGAGAAGAGAAGGCTGAGAGGGGATCTGATTAACATGTATAAGTACATGAAGGGGGAATGTAGGGAGGAAGGGAACAAGCTCTTCTCCGTGGTGGCCAGTGACAGGACAAGGGGAAATGGGTACAAGTTGAAACACAGGCAGTTCCATCTCCATGTGAGGAGGAACTTCTTTCCTGTGAGCCTGACAGAGCCCTGGAACAGGCTGCCGAGGGAGGTTGTGGAGTCTCCTTCTCTGGAGGTCTTCAGAACCCTCCTGGATGCCGCCCTGTGCCATGTGCTCTGGATGTCCCTGCTGGAGCAGGAAGGTTGGACTAGATGATCTCTAGAAGTCCCTTCCAACCTTTAACATTCTGTGATTCTTTGATTGTTCTGATCTTATTTTTGGAAATGGGAAAGCTCTGTTTCCTCTATCATAATCATCAGCTCTTCTATAGTTACATGAAGGAAGCTCTGTGCATGTCTGTTACCTTATTTGGGTTTTGTTTTGCATTTGCAATATTATGTGGTTATAATAAATTAAAAAATAAAACCTCCAACAAGAGCACTGTGGGTAAAACTGAAGGTAAGACACAGAGGGATGAAGTCCAGAAACAGATCTTGTTTCTGTTTTCAGTTTATACCAACTTGTTCCAATTTCTTCACATTTCACAAGTCATGCACTTGTGACCTTTTTTCATATTGGGCTTTAGGAAGGTACAAAAAGGTCATAAACACTTTTTAAAAATTAAGAAAATATCTCAAATGAGAATATTTACCTTTAAAAGCTTTAGCAGTGCAGAATTGCCGATTCTATTAAGAAGGCAGACTGTCAACTCTTAATTCATGCTATCTAGGTGAGTATTAAGATTTCTGGTAAGAAACAGTGATATAAACTTCTAGATCTGGCATGGCAGAGATTGTTGCTGAGGTACCTTTTCCCCTTTTAGCTGTGGAAGGTAGATGAGAAGGGCTCTTCCCACAACCTGAAGAACCAGTATGGTGACATCACAGAGAAGGATAAGCAACTGTGAGCATGTTAACAAACGTCTAATTTAAAGATGCTTTTAGTGTTATACTCTTCCCAAAAGGGAGAGAAAAATGCGGAACTCCATCGAGCGTATTGAAAAAAAAAGTTAAGGCTGAAATTTTCAAAGTGCAATTCTTTTTCAAATGCCTGCGGCTAGCTGAATCCCAGCGTGTGTGAGTGCTTGCTTTTGCTTAAATCTGAAATGTTATCTGCAACTTTTTTCTTTGAGGATACAAGATAAAAGGAGTCTTATGTAATAAGGGAAATTTTGGGCATGCAGACTGAAATGCTCCTCCTGGGAGCCAATATAAGTAGTTTGATATTTGGATATCAGCTGTTCCATACATACACACTGCTTTTCAGTTTCTGTGGAATAAAATACAAATGTTCTATTGCTGCACCAGCATTTGACTGAAGACAAACCAGCTTGTTTTTCAGAAGTTTGTGAATGCATTTCTGCAGGTATAATTTGTTTAGAGCCTTTGAGTGAAATGGAACAGGCTGCCCAGGCTAGCCTTGCTGAGCAGAGCTCAGGGGAGTGTGACAAAGCTGTGAAATCTTTGCTGTTCTGGGCATGTCATCCAGCTGTTTTTCCTCAGGTGTCACATCGCATAACACGAACACTACCTTTTGCTGCAGATCTTAGGGAAAAAAACAACAAACTGCAGGCTTGTTGGGAAATATCCAGCTACCATAGCCCCATCTGTGCTGTTTGGGAATCATAGCTGTGTGCCAGAACAGTCATTTAGGGAAGTTGTTCTCATGTAATAAACTGATGTTATCAGGAAACTGGATGGCATATTGCAGTTTGGAGCAGGTGCCCTTTGTGTGATGCATATTCAGCACTATACCTAGTGTTTGTTAAGCAAAGAATTTCAGATTTTTCTTACTTCTAATAGGAAGTTTTCTTTCTCAGGCTTTCTTAGCCCATTTTTCATCTGGGTGGACAGATGCAGAGCAAGCTGTGCAAAATTCCGTGTATCCTAGTCCTAGCCTCATTATTGGAGCTCACTTGGACAAGGCTGAATGCAGAACTACTGTGCCCCACCACTGTGACAGATGCATATCTGATTAGGTACAGGACTGAGGAGTCCTGGGTCACCTATGTTCTTCAAAGAATTAAGTTCTGTTCAATTAAAACCTCATGATATTTGATTCTGCTGTTCTGATATGCATGTATTCACCCCCATCCTAACAACTCTCTGGTGTTTAGTCCTTCACCATAGCAAGATTCACAAGCCTGATGTTTCTTCTTTCTGTGTCCCTTTAAGTGTTTAGGTACTTATTGGAGGGGACTTTGTGCAACACAGAAGACAACCACAGTGTTCTGAAGAGAATTTATTACTCTTTCTAGCATGAGCAAGCTGAGATACAGGATTTTTTTTTCTTCACTTCCCCACTGTGTGAGGTAGAGATGGGTTGAGCAGCTGCCAAACCTTGTGTTTCCTCACATTTCTGACACTGTGGACTGCAGTTATTTCACCACTAATGGCCATTAGTTGCAAACACTGCAGACTAGGCCTGTCTTCTGGAGAATTTCTGGGTGCAACTGAGTACTAAAGAAGAAAAGGACTAGTGCCTCTCCTGTAGGAATGTCTAGCAAGCATGCCAGCTCAGGTGCTGTTCCAATGAAGGCTAATGTTTAAAAGAAAAAGATGCTGATCTCTAACAGAGTCCCTCTTTACCTCCTCTGTATTCCTTTCTGTAGACTTCTTGACCTGGGTATGCTGCTGAGATAGGAATGCAAAGGAAGAGCCATCATAGAGCAGAGAGGTGATCCAGGGCAGTCTAAATTCTTACTGTGATTCCTGAGGAAAAGCCTCCATGCTAATCTTCCTTCTCTTTTTCAGTTCAGCAGAGTGTCTGAATGGCAATTGAGTGAGGAAAAGAGCATCACCCTTTTCTGTGCTGCTTTCTAGCCATCCAGATAAACAGTAGTGGGTGCAACGCATTAAGAATGGTAGTGGAAAAGAGTTGGTTGAATGTGAGCACAGGAGTTTGGGGACAACTTGGGCAAATGAAGGAGCAGGAGCTATGCTGAATGCAGATGCATGCACCTCGCCTTAAGCTTTTATGCCCATTAACAAATGTGGTGAACAAGTCAGCCTGCTTTGCACAAGCATGGAAGCCTATATCAATCTAGGGGAATGGGGAAAAAAAAAAAAAAAACCTTTCCTTCCATTACTTTGATGTCTATGTCATAGAATCATAGAGTGCTTAAGCTTGGAAGGGACGTCCAGAGGTCATCTAGTCCAACCCCTCTGCACACACAGGGTCACCTAGAGTACCTACCAGTAGTTAATCTTGCTTTGCTCAGTGTATACTGCATGAGGGAAAATAAATTGATATATATAAGTCTAGGCATGCATGAATATATATATATAAAGCTTTGTCAGGCCTCACACTGAGAGCAAAACTCATGCAAGTGATTTTTCAACTCCTCCTGCTTCACAGTGAGATTAGGATTTTGTTTGTGGTGCTCTGTGATGCCATCTCCCTTTTTGGGTGTTGGAGGAGGCAAGAAGCTATGGCAGGGTGCTGCAGTTAAGAACATGGTACTGGTGCTCAGATGATGTCTCAAAGTAACCTCACTGTTACTACATGCTCACAACTCTGCTACAGACACACATACTCGGTTCTCACGCATACTTCAGTCATATGATCTGTAGCTGATTTGTGTGCATTAGAACAAATTCAGACTGCTTTTCTATGGATTGTGGTCCTGATTTTGCCCCTGCCACAACCACAATATCTCTACATAATATCTTTACATAATATCTCAGTGCCATACTCTCATGTCACCCACTTGGACCCAAAGGTGAAGGCAGGGAAGAATGGCTGTGTTGTATTCTAAATGTGAGATGTGACTTATTTACCAATGCTCTCCATCCAGCTTGTAGGAAATTAACTCTATTTGAAATACCCTTGTCTTAAGCATGACAGAGAGGTTCAAAAGTTAACAGGCCTGTCAGACCGATCACATAAAACTTGTTTCCTTAAAATGTGCTGGAAAAAAAATCCAATTTCATCTCTCCTTCAAAAAAATGTAGGAAGGATTCAGGAAAGATTAAAGAGCATATTTATAGCTGACAGAAATCTGAAGGAGGCAGCAGGGGGCTTGCAAGCTGCAAGAAGAAAGTCAAGTCAAGCACACATCTGAACAAAGCCAGCACTACTGACTGTTGTCACTGCAGCCAATGCTGGCTTTGTTCAGGCAGTAGTTAAAAGTTCATGCTTCTTTTCACCGGAGTATGGGTTTGATGTGTGAAAGCAGTTTAAAGAATTGTAATTTGAACTCCTGTGCGAAGAGTATTGGAATTAGATTAAATAAGGTTACTTGTGTCTCATTTTTTTCCTTTAAACACAACACTGAAATTAAAAGCTATTAGGAGATTTGGGAGAGGGAGATGGACTGACTTAGGCTGTCTCCAAAAATTCTGTGTAGGAAGTTAGTGAGAGCTCCCAGGACAGAACTCCTTCTCCATTTACTTGAAAATAGCTCAGG